GGGGGGGTTGTGTGTGTGTGTTTTGTTGTTGTTGTTTGGGTTTTTGGGTTTTTGTTGTTGTTGGGTTTTTTTTTGGGGGGGGTCTTTTTTTCCCGTTCATCTTTAAATTATAGACAACCCAGTCTCAAGTGCGAAAGCTACTGTTCGCCGCGTGTCCCCCCAGACCTCCTTAGAGTTTTGGGTCTTTCTGCCTTGGGTTGGGCCAATATTTCTTTCTTTCTAAGTTCCTCATGCACTGGGCAGACTTGCAGCAGATAGTTCCCTGTTTGGTTGCTGGTTCCACCCTGACACTGCTCTGAATTTCCTATCTTGAATTTAGTGTAGAGCTGGTGGTTTAGTGGGTGATGAGGAAGTATAGGAGCCATCCTGGTTGTAAAGTGTGTGTTCCTTCCACTTTGTTTATAGCCCCCTTTTGACGATGGTTTTGGCCCCGGAAAGGCTTGTCCTTTTATCAGGTTGTTCTGGTTGGTTGAGACCCTTCTATTGCTAAAGATTCAGCAGTTTCATTTCCATACAAGTTACGTGAGTGAGATGGTATCCACTGCAGCACAACTGGGGGGGGGGGGGGGGGGGGGGGGGGGGGGTTGTAGAGGTTTGCGATTGTTGTTGTCAAGTCATTTAGCTCGCTGTCTCCGTTTGATTGAAGAGCTTGTAGTAAGGAAAAGGCATCTGTTAGGAGGACCAGGTTGCGAGAGGAGTGTGTGAGTCAGAACTGATTCAAGTGGCTGCAGTTTTCACAGCATCTATTTCTGCTTTACAGTTAGTAGCGGTTTTGTTTTTGTTTGTTTTTTGTTTTGTTTTTTGCGACAGCTTTTTGATGGATCTCAACCGTGATGTGTCTGTGCGGGTATATGTACGAAAAACATCAAGACGAATTTCAATGCTGTGGAATTACATATATTTAATTATTGTGGTAGCACCCTCACTGCCTCTTAATTATTATTTCACTCCTCAACGTCAACACCGTGACTTAACGAGGCTTACCAAGCCTGTCCTTGAATGCAAAGGCAAAAGACAGTCCAGACCTATCTTTCAAAGTACAGGAAATTCACATTTCAGTTTTTTCTTCATTTGAACTTGAACGAGAAGTGTAACTTTCTGAAACAAAGCACAATTGCCACCGACACTGTGGGTTTTATCAAGACTACTTCGATTCTCTCAGTAAATAACAGCAGAGGAAGATGCGCACACTTTGTTGCGTGCTTAAACAAAATCGGGAAGGTGTGTGGTGAAATTTTTTCGGGATGGAGGGGGGAAGGGGTGAGCACCTTCTCGCTCTTGAATTGGGTTTTGGGCGATCGAACTCGATGATGGCCGCATCTTGTTATGTTTGTTCCTCACGGGTGCCTATAATAGACACAGTATGATTATGGAGGTGGTTTTTTTTTTTTTTCAATGGTGCTAGGGGTTGGGCCCGATTTCACCTCAAACTGTTTAAGTATGCAGTTTTCTTTAGTATACCGCTGTAAGTATCCTTGCTGAAGAGTACATTAAACTATTATTGTTCGAACTCCGTACAATCTTTTGAAAACTCCACTTAAGTCAATGAACAAGCCCCTTTCGTTCGTCGCAAGAGTTAACACGTTTTGTTTAAATTAAGTACACACACTTTAGTTCGTATCCATTGATAGGCCGTAACTAGTGTCTTGCTTGCGCTTTTTGATGAACCTGCTCTCTCTCTCTCTCTCTCTCTCTCTCTCTGACCTCTTGAACCCTTGGACCAGTTACATGACAGTGACGAGGGGTTTGAGAACGAACAAGAAGATGGTCTTCGTCGTTGTTTAGGTAGATGAGGGTTTCAAAACTGTTATAATAATGATGGTGATGCTGGTGGTGCTGATGTTGCTGGTACTGCTGGTAGTAGGTTTTAGGTGTCGTGGTCCCGTGGTAGGGATCAAGGGATCAGGAGCATTGGTTTCTAAACTGACACTGTTCTAATCAGCGCTCCCTCCTATGTCGACACACCTTAGTTGATCAGCTTAGTTAGACGGTTAACAAAGGTCATTATCTCTGATATTCTGATTTACCACCTTTGTCGCATCGCTCAAAACTGGTTAGCCCGGCGGCATGAAGGTTTCTCCCAACTAATCATTTTTGTCTTTCGTTTTTTCTTTTGGAGTTCGCTTCTCGCGCACACCATAAATTAACATTATAGAAACCTCGCAGTGCGCTATTGATATGCCCTGAACAGTTACATACTGAAAACGTGTTTAAAAACAGATGGCTTCAAAACTTGAGGGTTTATATGCACCAAAAAAGAAAATAAGAGGTTCTTCACCGAAAGACATAAGTTCTTAT